TACAGTACTGGTGTATATCAAGCTACAGAGTTCTCTCACAACAATAATGGAACCCATGATTATAAAATAATCGTAAGGTCCACAATTGTGAGAAAGCTGTGTACAAGACTGTACACTAACACTGTACAAACAGCTTTTTCCATTTTTCCCTTCTTTCTCACCTCCCTAATTCCTGTGAAAGAGAATTGTAGAGGCCCGCTGCCTGTCCTTCAATTTTATTTTATTTTGACACGTGTTCCCACGTGTCTCTTTTTCCTCGGTCAGCTTGTCGGTTGGTTTATTATTATGCTAAAATGTATTTTTTTTTCTTACAACCCTTGACTTGTACGAGAAAGTTGGTATCAAGGTTTGAAGTTTGCTCTAAATCCCCAAAAAATTTAAGGTTAAAAGTATTTTTAAAAAAGGAAAGATAATTTATAAATTTAAAATTATAGGATAAAAAATAAATAATGCCAAAAAATTAAATATATATTTTTTAATAATAATGGTTTTTACATTTAGCATTAGAATTAACAATTATCAGTCAGGAAAACCTGATCGACCAACTTTAATTGCTCAGTTTGTCTAATTGCGCCTATCCACGATTGACACGTAACATTAAAAAAAAAAAACAATTTAGTAGCTTTAATCTACTTGAATTTAAGAGCCTCACTACACATAGAGAAAGAATTATGTGGGACCCACGCATAATTTTATTTTTAATACATGATGGACCCACCCATGTGAGTGTCCTGGTGAGCCATTGTGAATTAATCTCCGGTACATGGGGATTAATTCTGAATTTAAGTGCCTTTTTTCTATGAAATTCTTCATGAAGGATTTTCTTACTGAAATTATTAGTAAGTTGACAAGAAATCAAACCCCACAAGTTCAACTGACATTTCCATATCAAGAATTCGAACAACTAAATTAAGTAAAATAGTAATGCTTTTAATATAATATCTGTACATGAATTTGTTAGTACTCGCAATCAACTTTAACAATTTTAAAAGTTGTCAAGATTTTCAAGACTTCTTAACTATAAAAAAGCTAAAGGTCTAGATGGAACAGTCCCGTTCTCCTATCCACGGCGGGCAAGCTTATAATACTCATTCGGAGAGAACCCAACATGGGGTTCTCACATTTGGAGAGAACTATGCTGATTTTGGAATAATCTATTTCGTTATCTGCTCCCGTTCTCCTGCCCGCGGCGGGCAAGTTTATAATGCCCACTCGGAGAGAACCCAACGTGGGGTTCTCACATTTGAAAAGAACCCCACGTAGGGTTCTCCTGCCACATCAGCAGGTGGGCAGGATAAACTTGCCCGCCACGGACAGGAGAACATTTTCGCTAGACGGAAACATACACTTCAAATCTTGAAATTTTTATTTCACATTCTTAGCTCGTCGTGTTATTCCAAGTTTACGGGCTCAAAACCGCAAACAAAAATTCACTAGAAATCTAACGCGTTTTTTGTTTAAGTTTGATCATTTAGTTTTTAAACTACTGATCAATCTTAAGTATCACAAAAAATCTTTAAGCTAGATTGACGAATAATCTTTTATAAAGAATGAATATCTTTTATAGAAATATAAGATTTCTAAGTAACGAGTAAATGTCACACTAACTTTGCACTCATATATTAAACTCGCCACCAGCATTAATTGTGGAGGTTACGAAATGGTTAAATGAAAACAAAAAATAGTTGGATGACATTAAAATTTGACTAACATGAGAAAGACCCATGATCATCAATAAAATTTTCTCAATCAAAATGAATCACGTAGATGTAAAATTTACTCTAAGGCCCAAATTTTGACAATTTTGCTGTGAGCATGTTTAGTAGGGCTTAAAATCCAATTAAAATTGAAAATATAGTCGTTATTGGGTCTCACTCGTCTAATAAAAGTCAACAATAACGATTAGTTTTTCAATTTTAATTCGATTTTAATCTCTACCAAACACACTCTAAATCTCAAAGTACACTTTCTAAATGACAACTTCGCCAAAAAACTGGATCACACGCGCCCTGTGCAACCCAATTTTCTTGCATGGCAGTTGTGTCCATCCAACTAGATAATTAGAGCTTGTTTGGTAGAACTTAAAATCCAATTAAAATTGAAAATATAGTCGTTATTGGGTCTCACTCGTCTAATAAAAGTCAACAATAACGATTAGTTTTTCAATTTTAATTCGATTTTAATCTCTACCGAATACGCCCTGTGTGTACAGAAACTGTGCACACAGAAAACTCCCGGAACACACACAATACGGGTGGGGCCCGCATTTTTGGCAATATTTAATTTCGTGTGGAGTCTACTTTCATGTGAGTTTTCTGTTCAACTTCTTGAGGGATTTTTCTGTACTGGAAAAATTCAAATTTTGATAAATAGAATCAAAATAGATTTAGATCCAATGTAGACCAACTTTGGAATTTGTTCACCGGTCACATTTATGAACCGACCCGAGTCAGGTGACCTACACTACCCGTGCTGTTTTGTCCTATTTCCCGTGGATCCCGCTTGGCTGTCAAAGACCCATACATTACACATGTATAGCCCCGTTTGATGCACGTTATCAATTCAAAAACGTCTTTTTTTTTTTTATGTGATTGAGAATATATGGTTGAAAAAAAATGAAAAGTTATTAATGTGATGAAAAATATTATTTTATTGAAAAATATATGATTAAAAATGAGTAGAAGAATGACAATAAAAAAAATAATGTGGCTCAAATAAGGCCATAACCATTGTTTGAGCATCGTTTTATCAAAAATTCATTTTTTTCAAAATTAATTTACATACACACATTTTTCAATAAAATAATATTTCACATAAATCAAAATTTTTTTCTTTATTTTAACTACACATTCTCCAAAAATCACTATTTAAACATACATTTTTCTCACAAAGTGGGGCCCAAACAAGGGCATAATTACTGTGCACACACGAAGGGTAGATTTGGCCACTAGTGAAAATTGCAACTTTTGTCCCCCGTGTATTGCATAACTAAGATGTTGATCTATAACTTCTCATTATAATTGCATAATCAGCCTTTCTCGATACACCAATGGTCCAATGAGTATATCCATGTACACAAACAAGGAAAGAGTGCACCATTTATATTCAACTTTAAAAAGAATTATGATAGTTGTAGAGAAGGCAGCGGCCAGATGCAGTACCAAAAGATGATTTGAAGAGAAATGATTGGATGAAAAAGTTGACTGTGATTTAAACTGACAAATGATAGAGTGCTATGTAACATTATTTAGAGCATGTTTGGCTAAACTTAAAATTCAATGAAAATTAAAAATATAGTTGTTATTGGGTCTAACTCGTCTAATAAAAGTCAACAATAACTGCTAGTTTTTCAATTTTAATCCGATTTTAATTTCTATCGAACACGCTCTTAAACCTTTACGTCAACTTTGATGTATATATAGCAAGGTCTCTTTCAAAAAAGCAATTGATTTATTGGTTGTGCTATATGTACATGACAATTTATATAATGATTTATCAACAAATGATGTTGTTAGATTTAGTAGGAATAAATCCTCGTCAATCAAATAACTTTTCTACTAATATTTTGACACGTCATCATTATATAAAATGTTATGTAAATAATTATATACAATAAACAGTTTTCAGTGGTCTATAGCTTTGCACTATTTGAAACTCCATACATAAAAGAAGAATCAAACATATGAAGATGAGTCGTGCTTAGGCATTTAAAGGAAGACGTGTTCTTATTGATAATTGATGATACAGAAGTGATTCAGATATACTTTTTGGACGCAGATATTTATTTGATTGGTTCGCTAGGTACGAAAATTTTAGTGAACTCAATTCGATTTCTTATTTTTACATGATTATTATATTGGTGGAACAGTCAAGGGGATATTCATGTCTTAACGTACAGACGAGATTGATCGAACAACATAGGCAGCGCTTTTGAAATGACTACATCAAACACCATATTCAACACGTATTCCTAACTTACTAATTATTTACCACAATAACCTTTTTTAACATTAAAAGACACACTCTTCATTTCAAAATTAAAAAGAAGGATTTTTCCCCCAGACCCCCGACCCCCCCAACCACTCGGACTACCCGGACCCGAAAACCTTGGACCACTTGGACCCTGAATCTCCGAACCTCGGACCACCCAGCCCCCTAGACCTCGTTAACAAATAACAGATATATTGTGATTTCTTTACAAATTTGGATTTCTTCAACATAATAAAAACACATTATTTATCAATATTATAAGAAAAAATTCGTATTTAACCAAATAATATGAAGAAACTTTGAATATGGAGATGAATATGGAAAAAATGACATAAGCCCTGTTTGACACACGTTATCTCAAAATACATTCTTTCAAAACTCATTTTCAATCACACATTTTTCAATAAAATAATATTTTTCATCCATCAATGAATTTTCTTTAATTTTTATTTTCCATTACATCACTATTTAAAATACATTTTTTTTTTTTTAATAATATTCATCAAACACCCCGAATAACAAAAAATGGTAAGATTTTTAAATTTTCAACTTCAAAATGGAGGTAAAATTAAATGGGTATTGTCATTTCCTTAAATTTTTTACCCAAGATGGTGCAATATTTTAAGGCTAAATTACACACACAAACGCGGTATTTATGGGATAGATTACTCTTATATAAACTATCTTCGGTAGCTCTCTATTGGGGAGAGTGGGAAGCAACCTGGCACAATTGCTTGCCCTGCCTTCTGATCTTCTCCATTGCCGTTTCTTCTTTGATTTTACTTTATTCACATTAATGCTTTTCCATCAATCTTTATTTCTACAACATCCCAAACCCCAAATTTCTATTTTCTAGATCTGCTTCGTTTCTGCTCAATTTATCCTAAGAAAAACTAAGATTCAAGTAGGAAAAATCTTAACACAGTAACCCATCTCAACAAATCTTGTGTTGAGAAGTATAAAATCCCTTTTTCTTAAGTTTTTTTTGGGGGAGGTTTGGGTGGGGGAAAATGAAGGTGTCCGTATCTCTGAATAATTCTGAAAAAAATTTATGGGATCCTTTGAGAAGTCCATCGGTGGCAACTATTTCGCCGGCGGGGATACAGAGTAGAGCCTTGCCTAGGCTAATGGTATGGCTGATTGTGTTTGTCTCCGCTACCTATTTAGTGTACTCACTGAAGCTGCTTTCCTCTTCTCACGGTTGTAACGAAGATATTTTCACTCTCCGACACAATAGCATAAAATTGGTTTCGATCCAAAATACCACAATCTATCCTCTGCAAATGGGCATAAAATCAGAAAAACGTGTTGAAAAAACCAGAGTGCAACACATAGTTTTCGGCATTGGGGCTTCGGCCAAGCTGTGGGAAAAGCGGAAGGAGTACATAAAGTTATGGTGGAAGCCCGAAATGAGGGGCATAGTTTGGCTCGACAACCGTTTGAAAAAATACCCCAATCAGAGTGAGAGCCTCCCAGAACTGAGAATATCGGCCAACACTTCGCGTTTTCCTTACAAGAACAAGCAGGGACACCGGTCTGCCATTCGGATTTCTCGAATTGTATCGGAGACATTAAAATTGGGAATGAAGAATGTGAGATGGTTCGTAATGGGAGATGATGATACTGTATTTGTGACTGATAATTTGGTCAGGATTTTGAACAAATATGATCATAATCAGTATTACTACATTGGGAGTTTGAGTGAGAGCCATTTGCAGAACATTTATTTCTCTTATGGAATGGCTTATGGTGGTGGTGGATTTGCCATTAGCTACCCTTTAGCTAAGGCTCTTGAGAAAATGCAGGATAGGTGCATTCAGAGGTACCCTGGATTGTATGGTTCTGATGATAGAATGCAGGCTTGTATGGCTGAACTCGGTGTCCCACTCACCAAAGAACTCGGTTTTCACCAGGTGAGTTAGTTCTAGTTTCTGTTTGTTTTACAAACTTCATAGAGTAATCATTCTGTACAAGATTATCTTAGGTAGTCCATAAATGTACTATGTTAAAGTTGTGAGCGGTGAGTGGACCTTAGTTCTTGCCGGTGAATTGCAATTTTAGTTGTTGAGCTTAATGCTTTGTTATCTTGCCGACACTGCCTTTGGGGCAGCAGATGGTACTGGAAATTTATGGGCTTTTCCTGCATTAATATAGCAGAAGGTTGTCCCCTCTTCAATAATGAAGAATTGATATGCTTTTGAATTTTTTTGCTTTCAAATATAGCCCGTTTTCTCACAAAAACCAGTTTCAACCCCACATTCTTTAATAAAATAATATTACACGTAAATTTAAATTTTTTATTTTTTAACCACATATTTTTCATTACATCACATCACATCGTAAAATACATTTTTTTCACTGTAACATGCATCAAACACCCCATGAGATATTTTGGACGACATATCTGCTATTCATCACCCACATCTTACTGGTTTCCATGTGTCGGGTATCTAATTTGGTGGACTTTGACTTTGGTCTGTAAAATCCCACAGTCCAAGAGGTCCAATAGAGCCAAAGATGTGGGGTCACTAAAAAATAGATAATAATTTGTTGGTGGGGTGGGTGGGGGTGGAGGTCGAGGTGGAGGGCAGTTGTTATTGAATTTGTTTGAGTTGTACGTGTACATAATTATGGGTTACATTATTGTTTGACTAGTTCTTTGTGGAAAAGTTGATAGTGGAATGGGGTTGGTTTGATTATTAATGCTTGAAATTGGTGAATTGGGCCTGCTTGGTTAAGCGTAAAAAGTATACATATAAGTAAATAAGAAGTTGTTAGGGTTAAATTCCAATTTTATATTTGATGTTATTATGATTTGATTTTGTTTTACCATGGCACCAAACTTTATACTTAATGTCATCATGACCACTCAATTTGATTTTATCTCACCAAGGCCATCCAATTTCATATAACGTTTCACTATGATTACCCAATTTTATATAACATTTACCATGATCACTCAACTTCTTTTTACCATTTTCATTAATTTTAAAAATGTGTAAAACAGTAACTTTACATTATATATATATATAAAAAAAATTTTAGAAAAAAATAAAATAAAATTTATTTTTAAAAAATAAAATAAAAACTTATTTTAAAATAAACCTATTTAAAATTTAAAAAAAAACTGTTATATATATATATATATATATATACACACACACACACACACCTCTTTTAAAATTAGTGAAAATGGTGAAATGAAATTAAGTGGCTATGGCTAAACGTTATATGAAATTGGATGGTCATAGTAAAATAAAATCAAATTGGGTCGGGCCAGTGATGGATTTAACCTATTGTAGATAATAAATTATTTTGACATTAATAATAGTTACTTTCAAGAAAAATGACTTCAAGAAAAACATAAGGTTGTGACAGAATTCTGACATCGTCTCTTCTTGGTGGATCACGATTAGTATGATGTGTATGGGAACCTATTTGGGCTCTTAGCCGCGCATCCTGTCACCCCATTGGTGTCGTTGCACCACCTCGACGTGGTGGAGCCGATCTTTCCCAATGTTACTCGAGTCCAAGCTCTCCAGCGGTTGGCAATTCCATTAAAACTCGATTCAGCTGGTCTAATGCAACAATCTATTTGCTATGACAAGGTGAATGGTTGGACCGTTTCGGTTTCTTGGGGCTTTGCCATTCAAATATTTCGTGGGGTGTTGTCACCCCGGGAGATAGAGATGCCATCGAGGACCTTCTTGAACTGGTATAAAAGAGCAGATTACACGGCTTATGCATTCAACACGAGGCCTGTTATGAGAAACCCCTGCCAGAAGCCCTTTGTGTTTTATTTCTTGAACGCGAGAATGGATTCTCGGACAAATCAAACGGTGAGTGAGTACCGTCGGCATAATGTCCCTCATCCGGTCTGCAAATGGAAGATGGCCAATCCTTGTAAAGTTGATCGAGTTGAGGTTTACAAGAAGCCTGACCCACATCTCTGGGATAGGGTAAGTCCATTTCCCTCCCTAACTGGTTCATTCTACACCATTATCGTTCTGCATTGCAGTTTTAGTTTTGCTTCATGACTGTATTTCCTCTTTGCATATATTGATCATTTTTTATGATTCTATTCTAAATCTAAAAGAAAATACATGCTAGTAAGGCATGTACCAATTAAAAAATTAACCCCAAAACTCTAGAGAGGACAAATTACTTGTTTATTTAATTTGTCTTGCGATGGGCCAGAACAAATAAAGATCCTGGAAATCTAGCTGACACCCATTTATAGAAACTACGAACGCTGAAGGATTTTTGATGGGAAAAACAAAAAAAATAGACATGGAATGTGAGGGAGTGTTGGAGATTTAGTTTGAGAAATTTGTCCTTTCTGATATATTTTATAATTTGATATGAGGTGGTCCGACACAAAAAACCTTAAACAATACATTCGACAGCCAGACAACTACAAAATTAGGCCTTGGTTGATGGTTAAGTAAACTTGGAAATATGTTACCTTCCATTTAATTTATTTAATAGACATTCATTTTGTATTGTTCTGTGGCAGTCTCCAAGAAGGAACTGTTGCCGAGTCATGGATTTGAAGAACAAAAGAATGGCGATCGATGTGGGTGTATGCAGGGAAGGTGAGATCAGTGAAGTAGTATGATCTTCTTGTACCACCCTTCTTCCATTTAATTATTAACTGTATTCCTTCAATTTGTTCGATTCAAGTCTTCAAATTTCTTGTCCTAGTGAGCGAAGAATTGCCGAGGAAGAAGGCGAATTAATGTAAAAAACTTGTATATTGAATCTGCATTTTCAAGAATTTGGTAGTATTAGTTCCATTTTTCCCCTTTTTCTTTATATATTTTTCTAAATATGGAGTCAAAGATTCTTAGTGTTTGTTAGTTGCATCAACGTAATTACCAGAATGATTTAATAATCTGTCTGGTTGTTAAGAATTATTAGTTAGTCACAGTCTTGATGGATTATTTTTGTAAATGTTTATGTAAATTGCAATTATCACCTTAGTTCTAAATTATTGCAATTTTTCTAAATTATTTTTTGAGTGAAAATGCCTTTATATCTGCAAAATTAATTTTTTTTGAACTAAATTGCTTTTGAATATGTTTGAATAATTTTCTGGTATTGATTTATCTAGCTAGGAGTTTGTATAACTAATCTAAGATAGCTTTTTCAAAAAAAGTCTTTTTTACAAAAAGCACTAAAGCAGAAGCAAAAATTATGTCAAATTGCCTCGAAACATAAGCTCATGTTTGGCAACAATTATTTCACATTTTTTTAATTTTCACATTCAATTTTAACAATACATTTATACAATAAAATATTGAACGTAAATTCAAAAAAATTTCATATTTTTTAACTATACATTTTTCGAAAAAATATTTTTCAAAAATTTATTTTCTCAAAATAATGGCATCAAACAGGGCTAAAAATTTGTCTTTATTTTCATTATATTGCTATGAGATCAAGCAATTTCATAATACAAAAATGTTGTGAGTACAGAAATTTTCTATAGAATTTGCAACGGAATTTTGAATTTTACTCACATGGGGGTGGGCCCCATGTGAGTAAGTAAAAAGTTGATTTTTTAACCCACCCACTCCCCTGATGTGTATCATGTACCTATAATAGAACTCTTCCATAATAATATAGGTGAAAGTGTGAAATACATGAACATGACAACGAAGTTAGTAGACTCTTGAAAGTGCCATGAACCGAACGATTAAATGCTAGTCGCTTCAATCGAATACTGAAAATTGATTTTATATTAGAATATTATTGATTCGTTCAAGAATATTGATTAGAATTGAAAAATAAAGAAAACACACAATTTTATTTTTATTTAGTCAAATTCAAAACTCATTATGTGAAAACAAAGTGCGGCGGCTACTATGCTTTTAAGCACTAAACCAAAATTGCTAATATGTTCTAAAATTGCAAGTTTAATCCTTATACTTCTAAGAACTATTAAAAGAGACTCGTTAATAACTGAAAACAAAAATGACATAAAAATGTAAGAAGCGCGTAATAATAAAAATAAAGCTAGCTGTGTATCCTCTTGTCACAACTGCATCATATAAGCTTGGGCTTTGATTGCTCACGAATCAGCTTATATGGTTGAATAACTCGTTGCTTTCCATCTTAGCTTTGTACTAATATTAGACACATCCTCTGATGAGAGTATTTGTTCGGATTTATGCATGTAACTCTCTGCTAACAAGCATTGAATGTATTGCAAAAATGGTTAATGCGTTCGAAATTTGTCATTTACTCCCTCCTCCATTAACCTTTTTTTTTTAAAAAACAAAAAGGTGTCAATTTCAATTCGAGGATTGTTTAGAATAATTCTCGGGGTTTGAAATTTGAATGACATAATAAATGTTGAAATTCATTAGTTTACAAAAATTATTGTAATAAAGGAATAGGAAAAGAGGAGAGCCATGAAAACCATTAAAGGAGATGTGCAAACCTTTCCGTGGACGGGTGAAGACAAAATGACTGTAAGTCTGTAAGGTTAAAGATATTTATACATAATTTAATGTACTGAATTGTTTATCTCCTCTCACAAGCACGCGGGCCCCGTGGGAATAAAAAAATCCCCAAATGTAGTCCCTATCCCCTATTGTGAGTAGTCGGTATGTGATTAGGTAAACAAATTCGATACAGGTAGCATGGTCCATAAATGTAATATCACAAAGATTTCACCTTACATAGCTCCCGTTTTGGCCACCTTCTTATCTCATTAAAATGAAAAATATGACCATTATTCATCACATCAATATTTAAATTCAAATTTTCTATCTCTAGTGTGAGCCTCAATAACGGCTATATTTTTCATTCTCATTCTACAAAAAGGTGACTCACACAGGACCATAATGTCCCATCCTTTTTTTTTCGTGGATTACAACATAAATATAGTACATAGGGTATATTTTGATTTGCTCTACCACCACAACCACAATTGAATCAAAGTTTAAATTTTTGGATCAACTTACGGATTCTACCTATTGTCCTCTAGCCGCAATCGAAACAAAAAGTTTGGGACTATGAATGTAAAAATAAAATATTTGGGTATAGTTTGTAATAAATCGAAAGACTCGGAACCCCGCTGTAATTTTTCCCAATTTACTATGCAAAACAATACTACGTTTGGCAAAACATTTGAAAATTGTAACTTCAGTTCCTAAGTGCGACACCATCCAACTTTATACTTAGCATCACCATATCCACCTAATTTAATTTTATTTCACCATGGCCACCTAATTTCATATAAAAATTCAAAATGACCAGCCAATTTTTTTCATCATTTTCACTAATTTTAAAAATGGGTAAAACGGTAATTTTGTATTATAAATAAAAAATAAATTTATAAAAATAAAGTTTTTTTAAAATTTTAAAATAAGTTTTTATTTTTTTAAAAAAAATTAAGCATTTATTTTAATTTATTTTAAATTCATTTATATATATAATGCAAATTTATCATTTACCCTTTTGAAATTAGTAGAAATTGTGAAAAGAAGTCGAATATTCATGGTGAAACGTTATGTGAAATTGGGTGGCTTGGTGGCACTACGTATAAAGTTGGGTACCATATTGAAATAAAATTACAATAATACTGGGTGTACAATGCCCCTTTCATAGAAGTTTTACAGGAAAATAAAAAAAGGTGACGTGGAGGCCAAATGTGAGGGGGGAAAAAAAGGAAAGACGAGATCCAGCCATTTTGTGGTTCCTCCTTTTTCTTTCCCCAAAATGGAAGCCCGAATCTCGTGAACAATCCCACAGCTCCAAAACCCACATCACAAATTCCATCACAAAATTCCATCTCCACCGAACGGCTCCATTTCCTCATTTCCGTGAAGGTTGACGAGATCGAGAAAATCTACTGAAAATCCACTCCGACCCGTGTACGGTGTGTTAAGAGGAAGGAAGACGAGAGTCCAGCGATTTTCCTTTTTGAAAACCCGCAGATCCATTTCCTTTTTTGAAAAATCGCAGCTCTATTTCCTCATTGCCAACGAGATCGAGAAAATCCAATCCAACCCGTATACGGTTTTCAACCTCAAAGCATTTCTCCCATCCGTGTGCACACCATGGATATCGTCGTCTTATCGGGCAATCCCTAGATAAGTGCTTCGTGCTTCTACCGTCGTGACAAACACCAAAATTCCGTCCTCCCATCCTGGACGGCAAATCCTAGAATGAAATCAATTATGAAGTTCATTGCAGTTAACATATTGTCCCCATTAAAGTTCTTTACTGTTAGCATACTAATTATAGTTTTAATTTTAGATTTAAGTGATGAAATTGACAATTTGATAACAAATCTTTTAATAAATCACAAGATCAATCAATTAACCAATTAGAAAAAATAATATCTGGAAAAAAAAATTTGAAAAACAGCAAGAAAAAATATGACGCATACAGAATATTTACCCAGTTGTGACAAATAAAGATTCTCGTTGCCCGGAGTTCGATGTGAGTACGACGTTTGTGGATTGAGGCAACGACAGGAGCTGGAAATGTTAGTACGGTGTCTGGGGATGTAGATGATGGCCGGATGTAGATGCGACAGCTTGAGGTGGAGGTGGTTTCCGAGGGTTAAAATCGACGAAAAGGGAAAGCCGTGATAGAATTTAAATTTGGGGTTCTATGTTACAGCAGCTTCGTGGACGTCGACGTCAGACAGAATTGAAGTGAGTGCCACTTCCGGCGATTTCTAGGGTTTGAAAAGGAGAAGAATGGGAATGAGAGTGTCTTGAGCATTTTTTGTTTTTGGAAGGAAATAAATTGTTTGTTTCAATAAATCATTTGCCACGTCATTCTGTGAAAGCTCTGTGAAACTCCTTCTGTACTTTTAGCGCGATCAATAAAATTAAATTGAGAGGTCATAATGACACGAGTATAAAGTTGAGTGGTCATTGGTAGATTTAATCCAAATCGGTATATGACCATTTGCAAACACTATCCACTTATCACTTGCGACGTGGACAATCTTACGAAGTAAAAGCTCTCGCTTCCCGCACCCAAAACCCAATTTCAAAATTCTAACGTATAAATCCTCCCCGCTCACTAGGAGAATTTCCAAAATAGTCGGATCAAATGACCCATTTGGATTTTTTA